GAATTATCCAATTAAGGCAGAACTGAGAATAGGAGAGGCCCATATTCAGGGCTGTCTAATACTCCAGGGGTCCTTTAGGTCATGTCATATGATGAAAGGAGATTTCATTCCTACAAGCGTAGCATCCCCACCAGTAATCTTCAGTAAATATAGAGTGAAGAAAATGGGAGCTTGAATCTGCTAAGCAAATGAGCTTCCTGTGTGCTGGATCCTGAAGGTGACAGTTTGTTGATGTGATTGCTGAGTCACTTTTAAATGTCAGTGATTGCTGCATAATTTAGATGTAGAAAAATTCTCTCCTTTTTAGTGTGCGGCTGTGTTATAAGTGTATGTAGTTGTGTGACTACCACATAATCCACACACAAGTATCTGTCTGCTGAAGAGCCCTTGTCCTCCTTTCTGTTTAAACCTATGCCTCCCTTTCCTCATCTGTAGAGAGGGGGGTTGATAATTGGAGCTAGAGATGACTAGCTGTTACTACATATATAGTGTTGAGAGCAGGTGTTGTGGTCATTGTTAACAGTGCATCCAAAAACCTGTTTCTCATGTTTGTCACTCCGGTGTGGGAGCCGGACACCTGTTCACTTCCTTCTCTGCCTTTTAAGAACAAGGGGAGAGAACTGTTCAAACCCGGAATGATTCTTGTTCATTTGACAAGCAGCAGCTTTCTGATAACTGGTAGGCTAACCTCAGATGGCCAGCACCCTCAGAGGAGTGTGTTTATATTTCCATCCCTTGACTCAGGTCCCATGGTTTTAAAGCTCATTGTGTCTCTGGTGTAGCATACTTAGTTCTTAGACTCATGGAGGTGCAGGAGGAAGCTGCGGTTTCTGTGATGCTCTCTTCTCTCAGCCAGTTTCCTCCATTAGAAGGGTTGAGTTACAAGTTTGATGAAATACTAGAGCTACAAGTTTGGGGAGTCTTTTCCTTCTTTTTTTTATGTGATAATTCGTATATATTTTTTGACTTTTTTTATTTGAATTACAAACAAGATTGAATTACATGACAATCCCAGTTCCCTTCTCCCTCCCTTCCTCCTTTTCCTTCTTTTTTTATGTTGCTCTTTTAACTAGCTTTCATACTGACTAGCTGGGCTGGCCTTGAACTCAAGATCTTCTTGCCCCTGCCACTGAAAGCTGGACCCCTACTACACTCTCTGCTTAGAAGTTTTGACAAAAAAATATTTTTTGAATGTTTTTGTTTTTATTGCTATTTCCATTCCAAAATTGTTTCTTTGAGCACTGCTTTGCAACTTTATTTTTGACATTTCCTCATAAAGTAGTACACTTTCACCCACAGTTTCACTTTTCATGGTTAAAGGAACCGTGGCTAATGTCATCCAGAAATATGAAAAAGGAATTTCCAGAAATAAGTGATATTTTATATTACATGCCATATTAATGTGAATCATCCCTTTGCCTAGGGTATCCAGGCTATATATGTTACCCTCCTGTTAGTTGCTTAGTAGGTATCTGGGTTGTCAGAATTTGTCACTATCTGTAGTTTGGACACCCACTGTTCTTGGTCAAGAAGAAACTAATGTAAGTGACTATTTGTCAACAAAAAGACTTGACCTTGTTTGTGTTTGTGTCATGGGGCTTGAGCTTAAGTTTGATTTTAGGGAACTGTGAGCATACACACAAACAGCAAGTGGGCTCCACCCATGCCCACCCATCCACTTAGAACTGGGCTGTCCTGGTTCTATTCACGTGTCTACATGATCACTGATGAAGCCTGCTCTCTCTCTCTCTCTCTCTCTCTCTCTCTCTCTCTCTCTCTCTCTCTCTCTCATTTCACTCTTGGTTTAAGAGTTACCTCAAGGGGAACAAGGAATTTTTGTTGTACTAAACATTGTCTGTAGGTTATATATAATGTCCACAAATGCACGTTCACTTCAGATTGTGACTTAGAAAATATAAGGCACGATATACCTCCAGAGAGTATGGTGGGGAGGGGAAGGATCCGGTCTGAATCCAGATAACCTTCACCATTTTTCCCCATCATTTAAGTACAATTCCTTGATACCATCTCACCAAGGTAACTAATTCTCAAGAGCTTCAAGTATGAGGAACCACACGTTCTAGCGGCTGCGCTTTTAATAATATTCATATAGTGCAAGAAAACCCCTGCACTGAGCATGTACAGCCTCTCCTTAGTGGTATTCTAAAAGCAGTGCAGTATAACAATGATTTCCATTGGCCTTGCTTGTTAGGTATTACAAATCATCTGGGGATGATGGACAGCTCTGGGGAAGTTGTGGCTAGGTTTTTCAAATACTCCATTGTACTGCTCAAGGAACTTAAGTGGCTGTGCACTTGGGTATCCATGGGGAGCCTGGAACCAATCTCTGAAGGATGACCCCACTGCCACTATCCTTTTCAATGTATGAATTCTGTAGAGAGGTGCCTGAGGATGAAGCAAGGCAATCTGGGAAGTTCTCCCTGAGAAAAAGCCTGAAAGGCATTGTGAGAATTGTCTGGGAGTCTGGAGGAAGTGTCCAAGGCTCTATGGAACTAAGAACCTGCTTTCCTTGCTTCTGGGCATCCTGGGAGGAGATTGAGAAATACCCAGAGTTTAGAGCCAGGTCCCATGACAGGGAACATTCCTCATCTCTAGAACAGGGACCATCAGGGGCCCAGACTCAGTTTATGAGAGGTAGCTGCCCCTGGGGTAATTCAGTAGCATGAGAATAAACACACTGGAAGCATCCATAAGCTATGAGCAACTGCCTCTATCAGCTGAAGCCTTTAGAAGCCCTGCCCTAGAGCTAGGCCTCACCCTTCCCAGAAAGTGCGCTCGGTATAGAATAGGCCTCCAAGTCAGGCCAGGGCCTCTGCACAGAGACTGAGACCAAGTGAAAGTGGGGGACCGTGAGAATGAATGAGTGCCCTGGAGGCAGACAAGAGCTTCCACCTGCCCTGGACTTTCAACTCTGTCTCGTCTCGTTCTTATTTTATTACATGAGTACCTGCATGTAGGTATGTGCTGCTCATTGTGTGGCCAGTACCCCCAGAGCCCAGGGTGTCAGGTCCCCTGGAACTGGAGTTATGGGTGCTTGTGAGCCACCTGGTGAGGTGATGGGAAAGGAATACTAGTAGTCTTCAAGAACAGAAAGTGCTCTTGACCTCTGAGCCAGCTCTCCACCCCCCCTTCCTTTTTGTATTAGCCATACTGGGCATTTATTTAGTGCCCCATTTTCTTTTGTTTTCTTTCTCCAGACCACCCCCCCACACACACACATTTTTATATCTCTTTGAGTAGATTTTTTAATTTCAATCTGTCACTAGACTTGGATTTCCTCTTTTTCTCCCACATTATCCTGACTGCGGGGAACGGACCTCCCCCCACTGCTCCGCCCCCATGAAGGTGCCATAGATGCCAAGGAAGTTTCTTTGTCCAGTGGCCAGGTCTGTCTTTTGTCTTTGAGCAAACTGCATTCTTTCAACATAAGAGTGGCTTGTCAGCTTTCAGACTCCTTCCTGGTACTCTGGCTCCACTGAGGAATTTCTTCTACCTCAGCCTGCACTTACACAGCCCAAGGTATCTGTGCACACCAAGTTTCCAGGCCTTTGTTCTCCAGGCTCTGGAGGGAGGTGGCAGACACAGATGTGCCATCTGGGCAGAGATGACAGTCCCTCTCTCCTTCCTGTGGCTTCTCCTTCCCTTTCTCTTCATTCTTATGCCCCTCTGTGGCACTCCCCTTCTGAAGCAGCTACACTCCTCCATAGTTAAGGATACTGGGGAGGAGCCCAAGGGGGAAAGGCAGTCTCTAATTGTTCTAGCCCCTAATTGTTATAAGACCTCCAAAACATTTTAGTAATAAACAGATTTGTGGGGAAAGAGAGAACATGATTTAAAATATATATATATATATATATACTTTATTACTTTATTTATTTATATTATATATATATATATATATATATATATATATATATATATATATGGATAATCAGTCTGTTTAACTCTGGAGTTCATAACATGACAGCCATCTAAGTGGTTTCAGGTAATGAGTTAATGCCTGTCTGAATTTCACCACATGGTAGTGATAATTATTTTCCCTTGTGGAAACTTCACATGAGCTACCTAACTGCCACCCCTTCACCCAGCACAGGGTGGCTCCTTCATATGTTGTGTCTGCCTCTGGTTCCGGAAATGAGCCCCATTCTCTGGAGACCAGCTACAGAACATTTCTACCATGAGTTGGAGTAGCTCTGGCCTCCACAGTGGTGGGGCATTTCCAGCCTTCCACCCATTACAGGATACTCAGTGCTCAAGTGAACCCCTTCCTAATGATTTCAAAATAATGGTACAAGGAAGTGATGGAGAGACTTGTCATGAAATAGGTAGAAATAGCTTGGGAGTCTATAACAAGCACTTCAGGCCTGCAGCTCTTTGCTTTCCTCTGCATCTTGGGGCAGGAGCCTTGCTTTGTCAGCACCTCTCCCTTCCTAGCTGAGCCATCATAATGCCACATAGTCACTCTGCCATTTCAAATATGAGCCATGATTCTCCCAGTCCAGCCACTTTGTATTATACAGGATACATGGAGGCATATATGTTGACAGTCACTCTACCCTAGTACCTTCTAGTGCAGGTGTGATATTCCCATATTCTCTAACCTTTGAAGAAAGCATGTGTTCAAGATTGTCCCACACTGGACTCAATGCTCAGAGACAATTAACTAAATCACCCACTCTGGATGCCTTAGGTGTCCTGCTCTAACCTCTGTGTGCCCAGCACCTCTCTGTCTCCAAGAAATCCAGTCAGCATTGTCAGTGCCTCTTGGATGTGACATCTAATTCCTAAGGAGGCTATCTGCCCTTTTACTTTCAGGTTTTGGTGTGTTTAAGAGAAAGTCTGTGGACTGAGGTGGGCTGATTTTACTCCTGTGCCTGCACCTTGTGACAGCAGCCAAGGGTTGGACAGTGTTTTATATCATTTGCTGTTGCCTTTCTTAGACCTCAAAGTAAAAGCTTTATTCTCTCCCTCTTTCCCAGCGAGTTCAAGTGGATAACTTGGAAGACAAGAAAGCTGAACAGCCGATGATGAGGGCATCCACATCTGAAGCCATGATTATTCGTTAAGGTGGGTCTTTGGGGGGAGGACACACACATTTTGGAGAATAGCACAGTACAGGGCTGGTCTGTTTCTGAGAACAGACAAACGCACATGGTGAAGGGTAGCCCTGTCTAACATCCAACCAAATAGCTTTGAGAAGTGTAAGCCTGGGGTGAGCACATGTCCCCAACTTACAGAGGGACATGGTAGTTCTCAGCAGTCCTGTATCCTGTTGTTCCAATGGAGACTGCCAGGAAAGTGAGGTTAAAGGTAATGTTAGCATTTTTTTCTGAGCTGAGTTGTAGTCCTGAAAGAGCTCTGACTGGCTCTAAAGTAAACTTGCTGGGGTTATAGACAAACTCTAATTATGTAGTTCAGGCCGATCCCAAAATCATGATCCTCCTGCCTCAGTCTCTTTTTCCTTTCTCTCCTTTCCTTTCTTCCCTCCCTCCCTCCCTCACTCCCTCCCTCCTTCCCTCCCTCCCTCTTTCCCTCCCTTCCTTTCTTCCTTCCTCTTTATCTCTGTCTCTGTGTGTATGTGTGTGTGTTCCCATTCATTTATACATTCTCAGGGTGTGTTCATGAAAAGTGGTCAATTTCTTTGTGCATAAACTAAATTCATAGTGCAGTGATGTGTCCAGCTTAGATTTTCTTCAAAGTTTACTGGGACTTTAAGGATTCTTGTGAAGGAGTGGATACACACTTGTTTTTTTGTTTTTTTTGTTTGTTTTTTTTTTTTTTTTACAGGATTGTTACTTAAGCCTTTGCTGTCATTGCCACACTCCTGATTTGTTACTCATTTTTAGTGACTGCCTTCATGGGCCTTTACAAAGTATTCAGTCTAACCCTTCCACATAAGCTAATTTCACGGTGAAACTGCATATATGTAGAGATCCCTATACACTCTAGTCTGCCTCAGTCTCTGGAGTGCTGGGATCACGGACACATCCCATCATGCTCAGCTCACTTTAGATTTTAATAAAGGAACAGAGCCAGTGCAGAAAGCTAGGCAGAGGCATACTTCTGGGGACTGTTGTTGGCTTGCCTCAGAATGTTATTTCTCAGAGTGTTTCCTGGAGCATAGCGTCTAGACTGTTTATGCAGTGGGCACTGGTGTTGTTGTCAAGTGACTGGGGAACATTACATCGACTAAATGGTGTGTCTCAGGACTAATGGACCTTGTCAGCCTCCATGGCTACATGTGGTCAGCAGTGCTTGCCATGGTCCTGTGCAAATTGTGGCTTGTGACTAGCATTCCACTTGTAAATTTTGATATTTTCTGAATATCAGCCACAAGTGATACCAGAAACTAAGGATATAGTTATAATGAAATTGGCAATGTTTATATGTAGAATGTAAATACAAGTGAACAAAAGGAATTGCTAAGCCACAAGGGCTTAAGAGAATGACCCCCTAGAGCCAGGTGGCCCAGCTTTAATACTGGGTGGGTCTGACTTTTGTATCTTCCTGATGGTAGAAGGGTTTGTAGCCTCTGTCCTTCATGTTCCTCACCTACAGAGAAGTGGCAATCATATCTGCCTCATAGGAATGGTTGTGACAAGGACAGGAATTATGAGTGCCTGCAGGACTAGACTATATACAGATGCCATCAGATTTGTTCATATAATGAAAGTAGCCAAACACTGTGATTCATGTCGAAGGTTCATATATATGGTGACTGACTGAGGAGAGATGAAAGGCCTTACAGTAGAAACTTCACATACGTGAGAAATAGCAAGCTAAGCATAAGGTAGGCAGAGGGTATGAAAAGTAAGCAAAGGCATGGGATACCCTTTTTTTTCAATCATTGGACATTAACAAGTATTCTAAGGACTTTGGGCTCCAGTCTTACACCATAGAATTCTCAGGCTTTCTGCTCAATTGGACTGGCAGGTCTAGCACTACATTCTCAGTTCTGAGAGTTTTGTACTTGGCCTGAGCCATGCATCAGTAGTGCATCCTTGAGTCTCTCCAGCCTATAGGTGGCCCATTGTGGACTTAGTCCTCATTGTCACAAGATCCACAACCCCTAATTATTCACCTATAATCCATCCATCCATCTACCCATCCATTCATTCATCCACACATCCATCCATCCATCCATCCATCCACACATACATCCTCTCATCTATCCATCCATCCACCAATCCCTTTGTCCATCTGTCCATCGTTTGGTTTGTCCATCTCTTGGTTCCATCTCCGGTAAACCTAGAGACTCTTTTGCAAAACTAATGAGTTTAGAAAACTAGTATAGTATGTGCTAGAGGTTATAGCCAGGGCAGTTATGCAAGGAGATGAAATCTGAGACTTTCAGATTAGAAAGGAAAAAACAGAGCCATCTCTGTGTGCAGATGGCATTATTTTATATAAAAAAATTCTTAAGAATCCATTAGAGTATGAGAGATAATGAGCAAGTTTGTAAGGTTATAGGATATATAACCAATGTAAAAAAAAAATAGTTGTACCAAAAAAAAAAAAATGTAGCCAGGTGTTGGTGATTCACCTTTAATCCCAGCACTCAGGAGGCAGAGGCAGGCAAATCTCTTGTAGCCTAGTCTACAAGAGCTAGTTCCAGGACAGCCTTCAAAGCCACAGAAAAACCCTACCTCAACTCCCCCACCGTCCAACCCTCCACCCCCAAGCCCCATCCAAAAAAAAAAATCAGTTGTACTTTTTAAACTTTAAATGAATAATGTAAAATGAAGTTTCTTCCAAGTAGTGGCACAACAAGAATAGGAATAAATTTAGCACATGTCAAAGAGAATATTCTTCTCTGTGGAGTATCATTGAACTAAATTTAAAAAAAAAAGAAACAAGTAATTGTGAAAATATCCTACTCAGTACTTCTAGCAGGGCATAATGGCACATGCCTGTAAACCCAGCATGCAAAAGGTAAAGATACAAAGAGTGGTGAGTTTGAGGTCAGGCTGGACTACATATTGAAGCCCTGTCTCATAATTAAAAAATAATCAATACTTGTCCAATTTATCCAAAAATTTGATTCAGTCTTTACAAAGCTTCAGTTGGATCCTTTGCTGTTAATACTACCATTTATGTGGAAAATCGGTGGAGCCAGGACAGCCACAACAGGCTGTAAGAGAACAAAACAGAAGGTTCAGCCTTCTCATTTAAAATTACTAGAGTAGTCACGACCAGGCATCAGGTTAGAAATGAAGGCACATAGGGTATGATTGAGGGTCTAGAAATAAATCCATACATTTGTGGTGAATTGATTTTTGCCAGTTTAGCAAAAACAATTCCAAGGGTAAGAGTGGTGTCTTTAGCAGAGGACTCTTCCAATGGGGAAGAGCAGTGTCTCAGGGCCCTGTGTGTGACAGGAGCAGAGGCTGCCCACATGCAGAGAGGGAAGAGACTGAGTCCCTACCTTACACCTTGTCACAAGAATGAATTCAAGATGGATCAAAGCTTAATGTAAGAGCTACAAGTTTAGAAGTGATCGAAAACTTACAAGAAACTAGAAGAAAACATACATTTAATGATTTTTGATGGGTGTGGTTTTTAAGATACAATATCAAAAACACAAATGACAAGAGAGAGATGGATGAAGTGATTCTCATTAAGATTAAAAGCCTCTGTTTATCAAGGTGCAGGAACAAGAAAGTGAAAGGACTGGAGGGGCTGGCTGCTAAGAGGTCAAGCACTCCTGCCATGCAATCTGAGGACCAGTGCTTGGAACCCAGCACCCATACATTTAAAAAAAAATTAATTAAATAATAAATAAATAAATAAATAAATAAATAAATAAATGCCAGTGTGGTCCTGCACATGTTTGTAATTCTAGAGGGGACAGAGATAGAAGGATCTCCAGGGCATGTTGGCTGCCAATCTAGCTGAGAAATTCAAGGTCCAAGTTCAGCAAGAGACCCTGCCTCCAAAAAGAAACAAGTTGTAGAGTAGTCGATAAAGATAGTGGACACTCTTCGGTGTGTGCATCTACACATACTTGTGTGTATAACAACCCGAGAGAGACTGGGCATTGGTGGCCCACGCCTTTAATCCCAGCACTCAGGAGGCAGAGGCAGGTGGATCTCTGTGAGTTCGAGACCAGCCTGATCTACAAGAGCTAGTTCCAGGACAGCCTCCAAAGCCACAGAGAAACCCTGTCTCAAAAAACCAAAAAAAAAAAACAACCTGAGGGGCGGGGGACGGAGGGAAGGAGGGAGAGGGAGAGACAGAGAGAATCAGAGACAGAAAGACTAAGATAGAGAAGACAGAAACAGAGAGAGACTAAGATAGTGTATGCTTTTTGGAAACCGCTGACTGTGGCTCTTGCCACCTCCATTAGGTTACCCCCTCACTCCCAGGCTTCTTTAATAATTAAGATGATTGAAAATTGCTTTTAGAGACACATGTTCCTTCAAGTGACAACTCAGTCTTCCTTCCTGTTGGGAAACTTCCTGGGGAAACAGGCTGCTCCTCAGACTGGAAAGTCTTATTGATATGTTTTAAGCAAATATCGTAGTTTGAGCCTAAGCACAGAGGCTCATTTGGATGAGTCTAAGCAGTATTTGTTTTTCCTCTTACAAGGTGTGTGTGTGTGTGTGTGTGTGTGTGTGTGTGTGTGTGTGTACTTGTTTGTGTACTTGTGTGTGTGCATGTATGTGTGTATGTGGATGTGCACACATTCTTTGTTGAGTCAGAGTTTTCTGTTTGTTTTCTCACTATGTATCCCTGACTGGCCTGGAATTCATTTTGTAGATCAGGTTGGCCTCTAATGATGAGTCAGATTATTTAAAGTTATAGTTGAGGGTCACTAGCTAAAACGTTCAACTTTTTTTTTTTTTAATCTGGAATATAGACAATCTGTCAGTCAGTGAAAACTTAAAACCCCTTGTTTTCTCTGACTGAGTTGGCATGGAGCAAGAGAATTCTCTCTTTTCACTAGCCTCAGTTAATACCTCTTGGTGTAAGCAGTTGTGTATGTGTGTATGTGTTGTTTATTTTTGACCCATGAACTGGGAGTTGCTTGGTTATATTTTATTATACACATAAGAGGTATGTTTTGG